TTGGTCCGTTTTACCCCATTTAAATTGGTCCATTTTACCCCACATGACAACTATTAATATTATCTTATTTTTATTTACCTGTATCAAAATTATTTTTTAAATGTAACTGATGAAATATTACTTCTCAATAACCAGAAATATGGAACTTGTAGAAAAATTTTAAAATATTAAGTTTTGCAATCTTAGTCACTTAAAATGTAATACTAAGAAATTAGATCACGAGATCTATTTGCAAGAATTTGACGTTTTTTTATAAATAACTTACGATAGTCTTATGATATAATGACGTAATTTTTAAACAGTTAAAAAGCATCAAAAAGGAAATTAATTTTATGTTTATCCAGCAGATAGAGGTACTTACTAATAAGATCTAGCAAATGGACCATTTTACCCCGCGGTCCGTCTTACCCCACCTTTCCCTACATATATACGCAATATTATATAACTTTTCGTGCATAAACTATCATCATTTTGTGTATATTTAATACAAATTTTTGCTCTTGATTATCACATATTGATGTATAGCTAATCTCCCTTTTCATATATTCACGTGCGAAATTATTCTTGAACTCTTTTGCGAGATCATGCGGCATCTTATCCAAAAATGTGGATATGGACATTATCCCAGCTGTTAAAGTAATCAATAATTAAAATTAAAATTTTTAATGTATCAATATATAAATAATGCAAAAGATTTATAACACGGATAATAATTGTGCATAAAATTTATAACTTTAATAAGTTCTTAATAAGACTTACATAAAAACTTGTTTGAATTTTTAGCGGAAAATGTCACTTCTCGATGACTGCAATGGCAAACTTCAAATCTAATATTTTTAAGTAACTCTTTTACTTCTTTGCAAGGATTTTTTGAATAAAAATACGGTGAAATGCACCTTTTTATGTCCTACGTAAAAATAATAATTAGTAACTTGTAGTTGAAAAATTAGAAACAAATACATTATATATAATAATTACTTCCTTGTACAATGCAAAGTGATTATCTTGTGCCATTAGTTCAAAAACATTATATGCATCATGAGATGCTACAAATAATGTAAGCATAGTTCCACCAGGTCGAAGCATGCGATAAATGTTTTCAAACGCTTGTCTGTTGAATAAAGAAGATAAATGTAAATAATTTTTGAAGTATACATTTATTATAATATTTGTGAATTAAAATTGTGTTTATAGTATTATGTCAAATCACGCAAAAGATGTTACTAAAACCAATTATTTCAAATTAAAAATTACACAAAAATTATTTATTTAGACCAGTTTTAAATTTTGTTAATAGAAATTTTTCATTTAATAAATACCAAATTTTCCTATAAGAAAAAATTATATTTTTATAAGAAATTTATTAATTTATATCTGCTTAAGAGAATGCTGGAGTGCCTGACGAACTCCGACGCGAAAGCGCCATCATTTCGATGGAACTAAAAATTAGAGTGATATTATCGGCATAAGTCATAATCTAAGTATGAATGTATTGTGTATGCGTATGTGTGGTGCGTG